TTTACTGGAGATTAACTGGCCGTTAACGGGCCGTTTTTTTGGACCTGGGATGCCATCTACTAAACAAATAACTAGATAAAAAGATATAAACTTAAGAAGGCAACAAAAGAGTAGAAAAGTTATCGTTACCTACAGTGCGCCGGTATGCCTTCTCCTAGCGATATCTGCCTGCTGTCTTGAAGACGATGCAAAGATCTGGAGGGTGTTTCACAGAAATTCTTAAGTGCTCGACTTAGACTTAAGTCATACTTAAGTCTCCGTTTTGTCTTAAGTTAAGTTAGACTTAATTTTGAGTGTTTCACAAAAATTCTTAAGTCATAGACTTAACTTAAGTTAGACTTAAGTCCACGCTTAAGTTAAGACTAGTCTGTAGGTGTCTTAAGTTTGTCTTAACTTTTACTGTGCTTATAATGTGATATAAAAATTGAAGAATTAGAGTAAACAAATAACATTTTTTAACTAGTTTTTATTGACACTTATATTTAAATAAATAAAAGAAAAGAAATTAAAGAATTAATGGCGCTAGTTAGTCAGTGGTTGTTGAGAAGGGCGTTACGCCGTGAAAGAATTTTTTTTGACAGACAAAACCCTATGGAAACCATGACAGACGATTTATTGATGGCGGGTTATCGTTTTCATTCATGTGTATTACAAGTGCCTCCAATGTGTCCTGGACACAAAAATGTCTTATTGTATCTAGCATGTGTCTACAACTAAGAAAAAATAAAGATACTTTTAACGGCAAGACGCTTTATACTAAAATCTTGATTAGCTATATTTCATCATTATAAAGCATTTGCGTTATTAATTCTACCCTTATACTACAAAAAGTCTGAAAAAGGTGACGTGACACTAAATATCATTTTTCAATATGCACTCAAATTTGCTTAAATGTACTCCACTAAAAGTCCTCTTGTTGTACTCTCAAAATATAATTTATATGACCTACTTTCCTTCTCCTTTTATGAGCTGTCAGAAATTCAAATTTGTTCTAAATTTTACGTATCAAGATTTTTTTGTTCGTGAAAGCCTGAACAAAATTGGACAATATAAGAATAACAGGTTTTTCAATTTCGATGTTGTTTCAGAGAAAACTGCAGATGTTTGGGTTGCAACAGTTAACAATTTTGGGCTTTCAACCCGAAATGTTCGTAGGTGATAGCCAAACATAACCTGTTCACATTATGAACTTTAGTTCTTACAAGTTCAAATCCGTAGAAATTTTTTTTGCAGAATGGGTCCTTAAACCAACACACCACTCTCTTAAAAAGAGTTTTTTTTGTTCAACGAAACGACTCCGTCATCAGAGAAAAGTCATTTAATGAATGAACTCGTAAGTGCTTAGTGCATAACACATTTATGTGCTTTGACACGTTTGTACAATTTGAGCGTTCTATAGATTGCTAATCTCATCGAGACCTCCTTGTCAGCACAATATGAGCTCAAATGGTAGATTACATCTCGCGTGGTTTCCTCGTCAATATAAGCTTTATTGAATTTAGCGATACTTGAATGGAAATTTTAATTACTAAAGTTTATAAATTATGTTATAAAAAATAATTATAAAACTAGCGTAGTCTCTTTTATACTATGGGAATCAAAGGGTTAAAAGGTGAGATAATATTCGTCGTCCCATTTCATCTGTTAACACTCATCCAGTCTTGGTAAAGACTGTATCGACTCTGCCGATCTGCTTGTATAGCATCGTATGCTGCTTTCGGGTCGACTTCCTTTCCTTGTTTGTCGAAGACCTTGAAATCATGCCCTGCCGGTTGAAATTCGTAACCATACAATTCTATAGGTTTATTCGAATGTCCAAGCGCATATGTCACATAATTCTGGAAATCAGCGTACGTACGCGCATAGCCCGTGTTAGTCATGCTGATGTGCTTGATTGATTCACACACACTAATTCGCGGAGAAATGAAAAAGCCGTATACTTGACAAATAGTTTCGTTCTCCAAATAAGCAACGACTCTGTCTGTGCAGAACGAAGAGAATGAAAACTAAATAAGAATGCGAGGAGAGCATGTTTTTATATCTCTTTTACTGCAATGATCACTGATGCATAGTATAGAGCGCTTCCTTTCACCTTCGGGAAAAAATAAGCAAGCAGTCAGATAGCAGAACCCGTAGGCAACGCCTTTTTCTCGTCGTGCACATAACGAATGTTACCTGTAATGAATGTATCAAGAGAAAAGAGACAAGCTACATTAGCCAGCTCTCG